GCCCTTAGGATCGTTCAGCCTTGTACGAAAGTCAAGAAGCGCGTGCACGCGTTGGAATGTACGTCGTATAAAATAGCGGTCACGATCGGTCAAGCCGACCTACACGGAAGAAAAGATTTTAATGAAGTATTTAAAAGTTTAGTAGTAAATGCAGAAATAATTTTATTTCATCATCAATATTACGTAAAAATCTCAAGCATGCTATAAAAAGCAGGGTTGTCACAAAATTGCAGATTAAGGAAATATCAGAGAAATTGAAAATGATCGAGGAAATTAGGAAAAGTCAAGGAATTTTTTGGAATATTAAAATTCTTGATTCTATAAAAGGCACACATCACATCTACGCAGTTTTGAAATATTATCAACTTAATAATTAAATGTGAGCAGTATCAGTAACATTAATAATTCACATTGTTACATTAAATTGCTCTCTCAACAAAATATTCAGCGGTTTCTAGATCAGGATGAAAATATAAAAAAAATTTCAAAATGTTGAAAGCAGGGAAAATTGTGAAATTTTGTCTGAAAATTAGAGAAAAGTTATGGAATTTTAGAACGAGGAATTCGTGGTTCCAGCACCAGTTTGAGCATCCTACATAATTATTTTGACAATCCAACAAAATCTGAAAATTATTATTTTCAGATTTGTCGCTAGTTAAATTCTCAGATACTTCAACAAAACCGTCCTTTCCTCCGTATTCGTATATCACAAATAAAAGTATCAGATATCAGTGATACATTACGATCATTTCGTTTGAATCGCGGGAGCGAAATCCTTATTAGCCCCACATTACCCCCTGCCGATAGACGCGTGGCCGCGAGGTTTACAAACGAGATGCAAGCCGCGAGGATTTCACAAGTGGAAAAGGAGCGTCGCGGGGCGTGGCGCCTCTCTCAACTCTGATTTACGGCCGGTTAAGAACCGCGTATTATCGCCACATACAACTAATCCTTCCCAGTATATTTCCTCCTTCCATCCCTTCCTCACCCCTATTGTCCCATCTGTGCGTCGACTCACCCTCGAGTCCTACTCAATCACCCCCTAACCCTCTTTCGCGGTCACCCTCCTCCCACGTTTTGTGTACCTCTTCGTCCTTTCCCTCATCCCCCTGCGCTTCCTCCTTTCCCTAACCATCTTACCTCCAACCGTCCATCCGTCTCCCCTTTCTCCCGCACTGTACTCTACGCTTTGCCCTGGTCTCTCTTTCTCTTCCCCTCTCGCGCCTCCTTTCCCCCTCGCCCCCTCCCCCTGCCCCAGGTTCCTCTTGTTCCCGTTCCCGTTGTCGATTCAACAAGTGCCCGGTCACGCTTCGCAAATATCGCACGTAAGAGGAGGAGACGCCGGAGATTACGGCCGCATCCACAGTCGAGCGCGCGCCCCATTCGCCGAGTTTCGCCGAAATTTTCAAGTACATACCCCCTGTTAGTTACGTACTACTCCCTGTGGGAGGTAATCGGGAGACAACGACCAAGTTTCACCGATCGACGAAATTATTAACCCACGTTACGCGTACCACCCTCATTCTCGAGTTTATCTCCCAACGCACTTTCACGACGTAGAGCAACGTGCATCGAGATTCACTCGCTTTGCACGTATCTTCGCGTGATAATCTGATGAAACTTGTCCGAATCGGACAATTCGGACGACCAATTCGTACCTACTCGCGAGACATAATTTATCAACGTGAAATATACGAAAAATGGAGTAAAATAAAAAAGATGTCAGATATTTTTAATATCGATTGAAAAATAAGTAGGCCAAGTAATCAGTAGAGATTCAAAGTAACAAAAAATTTTGAAATACTTCATCGAACGATTAAATTTCGTTAAGTTTCATTTATTCGTTCTCGGATTTGCTCAAAACGTCTTTATAGAAATCCTTCAAGGAAGGAATTTCAAATCCGCAAAGTGAGCTGTCGCAGCGGATGTCACTTTTCGAAAAAGAATGCAGTTTTGAGAAAAAGAAAGAGTCGCTCGGAAAAGAGTTGGCGTCATTCTCTCGAACGGTAGAAGGCGAGATTAGATCCGCCGCGTCGTTTTTCCTCCACGATGATTCCACGAACGTTCCTCGGAGATTCAAGCTGGCCGGTTGACCACGTCGCGTTGGAAGGAGAATCTCCGCGAGCGAGTCATATTCCAAGTAGGCCGCTACGGCCGGCTGCGGCGGATGTACGCGGTCGCAAGAGCCGAGCTGTTGCCGCTAGAGACACACTCGAGTCAGGCCAGGAACGTAACTACTGGCGTGGCAAGTAGAGAAAACGCTCGGAGTACAAGTCTTACCGCCCAAGTCCGCTTGTCTTGACTGATAAGACGAAAACTGGGTCACTCTCAGTCGAGTATAAAATAATTATACACAAATTTTTTACATGGCTTCGATTACGAGAGGCTAAATAGCACGGAACTCGAATAGTAATCGACGCACGTCGCGTAATTACGCGACAAAGAAATGAGATCGTGAGAAAAGTTGTCTATTTATCGATTTTATCAAATTTACGATTTCTTAATGCTGATTTATGGAATATAACGGAATCATATGGAATAGAAGTACGGCAATAGCGGGAACGTACATTTGCGCGTCACGTTGACTTTGCCTATAGTCTCCAGTCCATCGTATATACGCCACGAGCTCGGTCACCACATCGTTCACTACCGCCAGCGGAGTCGCGCTATCAGCGCAGCTCGAGGCGGCGTTGGTAATGACGTGCGGACGCCGAGTTCGATGGAAACGCGGTGACGTTTGTTTCCCGAGCCATTAGATCGTCCCGTTTGCGCACGAAATTCGCTTACAAAACGTTCCGAGCGTGCGGCTTCGTTTTGTGAATCAGCGGATATCATATGAAAATTAATGAAACTTAATATTTCATTGGTTGCTCAGCACACACACACACCCACACACACACACACACACACACACACACACACACACACACACACACACACACAGTGAAACGATGAAACGTTTTGCAGCCACTGTTATCAGTTCTCACTTATGAAAAGTAGACGCAGTAGTATGTTACCACGCATCGATGATTCCAACTTTTCAAAACAAAAAAAATCGTAAGAGCGTCAAGTCGAAGACTGTCGAGACGCTATAGAATAATTTCGTTTGTCGACTTTCAAAAGTTATATATTACGTGAGAAAAAAGATGCGCCTTTTTCTTAAGGAAAAAAAAGAGAGGGGGGAGGGAGAAGAAGAGAGAGAGAGACTTTAAATTTGATAAGCCGTGAGTTGGAAACGTTCGGAATAGGAATAGTATCCGCAACTATTTCTAACGTGAATTTATGAAAGTTGTGCGAATTATCAAAGTTTGGTAAGTGGCAATTCGCTCTATAATCGAGTCGAGCGACGAAAGTCAAAGAGACGATAATCGACTTCGGTAATGAGATTAATCACGTGATTATGAAGAAGGGGGGGGAGGTAGAATTCGCATCTTCTTCCTTCATTTTGAATTTCATGCGTCCGTGTGCTCAAGGGACCAAAAGTACTGTCATTACCCTTTTCGATCGACCTGGCGACTATCGTTGTCACTTTTTCGTCTGGCCTCCAGCCAGAGTAACAGTCCCAACATCTTCTGTTATAATATATGTATATATATATGTATATCTTTCTTTTTTTCTCTCTCTCTTTCTTCCTCTATCTTTCCTATCCTTCTTCCATGAAATCAAACGTCATGTGGAGGCCACGTGGACTCGGCCAGCCGACAAACATGTCGCTGGTGACATCTCACGGTATCTCCGAGCACAACCGAGCACGCTATCGTGGCGATACACCCTCCCCCCCTCTCTTCCCCTCTTCATCATCGCCGGCCTCTCACCCTTCTCTAACTCCCCCTTCTCCCAGCCTCTCTTTCTCACGCTCGCGAGAACGCGTTCTTGCTCCCGCCAGCGGAGAAACGCGTCTCTCTGTCTTCCGAGGTGAGCAAGGGCTTGGAGGGAGGAACGATTATTTACTTACTTTCACTCGCGCGACCTCGTACGCGCGTAAATCATCCACGGCTGCGTGGGTACTGCTTTCGTAGGGTCCGCGGCGCCAAGATACGCACGCGAGTTCGACCCGCCCTACGATCGACGAGACGAAGAGAAATTATAATCTCGGTTCATGTCTCGACCTCATTCCCAGTTCGAGGAAAAAAACTCATATAATTTTTAATATCGAAAAAAAAAACAAAAAATACAGAGAAATCGATAATACTCAACAATAAAGATACTCTTCGGTTGAATTAAACTCGATAAATCTATAAACCTGTTTTTTTTTTTATTTTTTTATTTGAACAAAGATGGTTTCGTTATCCGACTGTTTCACAGCTCATAAAATTGTGTATTAAAAAAAATAGGTATAGCTTTTCTTTGTCCTGCTTGTGGGTTTCTTTGTCGTAAGTGCCAGCGAGCATTTCTAAGATAACTGCTGTTGGAAGTCTGTAGCCAGCTCGCTCGCCAGCGAGCGATCGTCCGCGTTCCGCTGATGATTTCTTCCCGGCGGGGCTAAGGAGTCGCGTGACGTCACTTTTTCCATCGCCCCGATGGAGTGCCGAGCGTCTGAGTCACGTCCTCTCTTGCCTGCTCTCTCGCCTCCGATCCGCTGCGCAAAACTAAACGCGCTTATTCGTCTTTGTTGCATCAACACCGACGAATAACTTTGAGATAACTAGCTGACCCTTAACAAACTTTAGTCGTAGCGGCTGAATATAATGGAATTATACCTGACTCTCGATTATATAACATTGATCATTTGGACTCAAAGCGAAAATTTTAAATGCTTGTGTGTACGATTGATATTATTTAAGAGATTCTAAATTCTGAGTAAAAATATTTTGAACCTTCCTATATCAATCACTATAAAGAGATTCACTTGCATTCTATACTCGAATAGGAACTTGGATGTAGTTTTCATAACTGTAGTTGAAGACTAATGATAACTACACGTCTTTTGTACAGATAGAACTAGATGCGCGCAAAGAAATACATGGAGCTAATGTTAGCGATTTGTGACTTTTTTTCAGAGTTGTGCAATGATGGGTCTGCAGGCGACGGCAGGAAAACGCAAATTGGAGGGTGGTGTCGGCTGTATGGAATTCCACATGGACTTAGGCGAGAGTCCGTCGAAGCTCGGACGCGTGGATGGTAGCTGGTGGGCGATGGACGACAGTTATGGGCCGCCCCTGAACCAGACATCAACGTCATATTACGAGATGGAAGTGAGCTCGCCTTGCCTACAGGCGACGAACTCGTGCCAGCCCTCGACGACGAGTTCTCCGCAGTCGCAGCAGCAACAGCAGCAACAGCAATCCCCGCAACACCCGTCGCAACACCATCCATCTTCCCAATCGCCGCAACAGGCGCAGCAACAGCAGCAGCAGTCACAACAACAGCAACAGCAGCAACAACAACAATCGCCGGCGTCATCCTCGACATCGGCCTCGTCCACAGTGACACAGTTGCATCATTATTATCATCACCAACGCACCACCGTTAGTCCTATCGGCAGCAACGGTTACAGCCAGCTATCGAGATCTCAACCACAATGGGGCGCTCTTCATCATTACGAGCCACCAACGATACGTCGAGAGGAAAACGGCAAGAGCTATCTGGAGCTCGGTTCGAGTTACCGGGCGAACGAGCGGTGTTGCGAAGGTTCCAAGTCCAGCTGGTGTCGGCGCGGCCGAGCCTGTTACAGGCAGCGGCGGCTCGCCGTGCTTAACATTTCAATGTGCAAACTCGCCAGGTACCGCCAATTCCCGGATCCGAGCCTCCACCGATCGGTACTGATCTGCAATACTTTGAGACACTTGGAACGTGAGATGGAAAGGGACAGGAGTCCACCACCTATGGAGCCGGTCGTGCCGGCTCCAATCGCTCAATTGCAACCGCCCGAACAGGGTAGGTTAACACCTTTCCCTGTGCCCCCAACGTCGTCAGGCGAGACTGACGTCGATTCTGGCATCGGTGACAGCGACGACAGCCGATCGATCAATTGGGGTAGTGTACTATCTTTATCGAGTCAGTCGCCACTCGACCCGCTCAACAACAACGAATTACTGGATGTGGACATTGGGCCCGATCTCGACCTGGATTTTATGCCCGGGTGGAAGCTGACGCCTCTTTCAGCGGATGACATTCTGAGAAGTACAACGACGACCCAGGAACAGCATCATCATCACCACCACCACCACCACCATCATCACCATCAACATCATCATCACCAACAGCAACAGCAGCAGCAGCAGCAACAGCAGCAGCAGCAGCAGCAACAGCAACACCTGATGTCGTCAGGGAACAGTTGCGGCAGCAGCTGCGGTAATAGCAATGTCATTGGAAGCGCCGGCGTCAGCAACGTTGGTAGCAGCAGTAGTACGCACGAGTCGTTGATGTGTGTAGGATCATAGCCCTCGACTTTGACGTCGTTGAGTCATCTCATCGATTTCTATCCGCTAACGCCGCAGGGCAAATAAGTCCGCGATAACCAACGCAGCTCGCGATCCGCAATTCGTGGATTCTGAAAAGGCGTGCGGGCGAGAGGCGGTGGTGAATATGGATCTCTCGCCCACCCTCTGGAGCGCTCGACGTCCGGCTGGCGACTCCTCGAGGAGCCGCCTTCACTTTCTGTTTCGCGTTAATTTATTGTCGCGTCAATTACACGTGTACACACTAATACATACAAATGGACACGTATACACCGATACAAGACCTTCTGTGACATTTTTGTTCTTCCTCCGTTCTTTTTACCACCGCTCCTACTCCATCACTATCGGCTATCATTACCGACCCTACCGTTACCATTACTTCTACTACCATCCCCCCCCGAAACTATTTACCTCCCCTCCCTCCTCACTATCGTTATTGTTACTTCTATTACTATCGCTACTATTGCTAGTAATACTATATTACTACTCTTACTCTAATACTATTACTACTATTACTATTATTACTATCGCTAATCAACGTGTCTCCCAACGTTCTGCTCCCCGAGGGACGGACGCGTCATGACACGCGGCATCCGCAGGTGCAGACAAAATAGAGCGCTCTGAGGGCTTAACGAACGAATTAAGAACGGGGAGAGAGAGAAGAAGAGAGGATAAGGGAAAGAAAGCCTTTACTGTCCGCGTGTCGACAGGTGCTGCTATTCGCGATGATCTGGTGTCCTGACAAATATTCGGACGATAACTTTCGTTTGTTAAACTACCGCGTACATAAGACCCGCGTGTATCATCTCCGCCGTGGAATTTCGAGACCAGGTGCAAGCGTAATTTACACACGCCTCGAGATAATGTATCTCAAGATTTAAGAGAAAACTGTCGATAATGATCAACTCTTCAATAGTGCGTAATAATAATAATAATTTGATAAATGTGATCCTAGGAAGATTGAGACAATGTTTCTGCACTTGCATTTGCAGGCTCGAGAATCCACGTGCGAATCCTCCGAAGGTGATTAAGATGTACAAGAAAATGTATAGAGAGATTCGAGAGAACGGACAGGAGAGAAGAGAGAGAGAGAGAGAGAGAGAGAGAGAGAGAGAGAGAGAATATATTGGCTACGTCGAGTGCGAAGAAGCTTCCTCTTCGAGACTGGAAAAACCAACGAGAAACGTTGCGATCGAAGTCTTCCGGCCTGGGGAGCCTTCTGCTCCCTCGCCGTTCTCGTTCGCAGCCTCAGATCGTCCGAGGGATTTTCTTCGTGGAATGGCGTGCGATGTCGAGGTCCGCGTCTCTGGGAGGAACAATCGATGATAATCACCGACGATTACACACGACACGCATCCACATGCATTCAACAATATATACACAACCATACAGACGCACATTCAGACAAACAGACAGTATACATACGACTGCCGTGGCCTATATTACACGAGGAGACACGTGCGAGTGTGAGTGCACGCAAGTCGTACGGTGCTACAGAGCGGCTGCATCCTGGTGCTTCTATCCTCTGGACACACACATATACACACAAATATATATATATATATATACACAAAGATACATAGACACGGGCATACATTAAGCCGAAGACATACCGAATTCGCACGGATCGCTCGTAGCGTCCGTCGCTCGGGGTCATCGTGACGCGTGTCCTGCCGTTGTAAGCGTGATACGATGTAAGTCGAAGATGTCGGCGTCTCGAACTTGAAATACTTTCGGCACCATCGATCCAGCGTAGATTCTGCTTGTTCGAATGTCTCATCTCGTATGTCGGGAGATTATAAATTAAAAGGCCTGAATCTAGCTATTAAAAAATTAATCGGATCCTACATAATGCTCTTAAAATGGAAATACCTGGCAATCATTTTTGTCTGATACATTGACATATGCGATTACGGGACTTAACATAAGCTGAAATGTTCATCGCATTAAAAATAAAGTCGTAATTTATGTACGTACAGCAAATTATTGAACAGGTTGAATCGGGTTGGTGCAATTGGGTCTCGATTAATTGTTTACATGTTGCGAGGAAGTAAAAGAACAATGAGTGAGAGGGTTTGAAACATTTGCGTTGAAACTGCGGGATGTGTTTGAGCTTAAAATATGCGGTTTAATCAGTGAGTGCATCCGTTTAAGAACATTACGAGCAGAACAAAAGTTATTTTCATATAGCGATTTTACGAGATCTCACAAATAATAATCTTTATCTACCTTGATTTTTACATTATATCTCTATGGGATATAAACGCGCGCACGCACACACACACACACACACACACACACACGCGGACACACACGGACACGGACACACACGTGTGTGTAAAGTGTAGATGAAGATATATATTTGTTATTTTTATTTTAAAGCGACACGTGTTTTTTAACGTGAACGCTCACTGATTAATAATGGCAATCTGTGCACTGATTATTTTTTCAACGAATAGTAATATTTATTTAGAATTCTTTCAGCATTTTTTTTCATCGCGATTCAGCGGGGAAATATATGCCGTGATTGTCTCAATCACAAAGTCTAATCGCAAGTTGAAATGTGAAAATTAAGCATGCAAAGTAGTCCATTAGGTTTTCAAAGTCCATTAAGCTTCAACGCAACGGATTAACCCTAAAATGCATGACGTGGGCCAGTATAACTCGATTTTAAATGCGAACTCCGCATTAATTATTTTATTAGAATGACCATGAAACTTGCCATAAATAAATACGAAAATATTAAAAAAATTAAAAACATCTTACAAAAAAAAAAAGAAAGAGAGAATATGAAAACTTATTATACGCTAAAATTGTCGCAAGTAGAAGAGAGAAACGGGGTACATAAAGTGAGTACTAAAAATAAAAAATGAAATTTTTAAGTCTAATGAAATTTACTGTAGTTAATTATAACGAGATTTAAAAAATTACATTCTTTTGAAGATGTCAGAAATCTCTCTTCACACATATCCATGTAATATCGGAAAGAGAGAATTATTGAAAAATCATGAAGGGAGGTAATTACGAATGGGGTGCAGCAGCAGGCCACGTCGAGCATCGCGTACGTTTGTTTGTATGTATGTGTATCGCACGTGTGTATATGTGTATATATGTGTGTAAAAGATAAGAGACGCGTCCAAAGGAGATTAACGCGAGACGCCGACGCCTTCGTGTGGATATCTTGTGTCTCGACATACGACGTCGACAAATGTACCTGCATTTTAGAGATCGGGATATCGTTCTCCCCTTCGGATCGTCGCACGGTGGCCACTGCGCGCCACTGATCTCCCATAAATGTATCATATGTACACACATACATATATATATAAATATATATATATATATTAGGTGTTGGAATTAATTCGTAGCGTTTTACAAGAGAATATATAAAATAAATTAGAGAGTGGCCGGCGTGCGCGCGCGTGAAGAAGGCGAAACGCTCGGAGTTAAGGTCGATTTAAAAGCCCGCTCGACCCCGGACGCATCTTCTCGCGTAAATCCGTGCGCGATCTCGCCCTCAACGTCCACGAATCCATTGAAGAGCAGCTATACTTAAAAGCTAAACGATTTAAGAAAGTCTAACGTTACGAAAGAGAGTAATAATAGTAACTTATCGACTCGACTGATTACTTAAACGCGAGGGTGAATGTGAGTAAGCGGGAGTGCGAGAGAAAAGGGAGAGCAAGAAGCGTATGTGTGTAAAAAGGGGTGATGTGATTATCGCGATATAGAGTTGATTTAAATTGTAATTATATATAATGATGTTCTCTCTTATATGACACGCGACACAAACACAAAACACACATACACACACACACACACACACACACACAGACACACAGTACATCTATACGTACACGAAGATATACGCGAGGTATGCTAAGTACTTGTACATATATATATACATATAATATGCGTTACTTATACTAAGTCTAAGCTCTTAAGCATAAACGCGAATCGTCGAGAAAGAAGAAACCCTTCATACCTTTCGTCCCACCCTACGTGTCGACTATCCTTCGAAGATCCTTCCTCGAGTTCCATTTTCTACTTTGTACTATAGCACACATACGATTGGCATATCTTCTGTCAAACGCGCATCTTCCCTCTTCCGCAAACCCCCTTCTATTCCCTTTCCAACGAACCGTCCTTGTCCGATGATAATGTTCCCCCCATCCCTTTCTTCGCGCGATTTTTCCGCGGAAACAACGAGCAATATTACTTTTAACAAGCTGCGGGGAATTTAGGGAATGAACGTACGTACAAACCCATGCGTTTAACCGCGCGTGAGTGTCACACACGTGTCCTTTGCGTATGCGTTGTATGCGCGTTGGGCGTCGAACGTTACGAAGTAACGGCGGGTGAACGGAATCGCAAGCCGTCTCCTTTCCGACAGAGAGAGAGAGAGAGAGAGAGAGAGAGAGAATTCGTCTTAGATTTTAAGTATCCTAAGCTGTCATTGGCGATCATCCGGCTATCTTTCGCCGTTAGCGTTTCGAAACTTGTATCCGTCGAATTGTGATTCGAATCGATAAAACGGAAATCTAAATCTTTAATGTCTAGCCCGAAATTAGGAAAATACTCAATTTTCGAACGTTCGTAACTCCGGGACATCCCGCTGACTGAATCGAGACGAACGGAAGACGAATTGACAGGAGAGTTTTTTTTGTTTCTAATTCGATTCGCCCTCCAGTTATTGTACGCTGAAGGAAGGATTCGGTATGCGTTTGACTGCTCCGCGGAAAAACAAGATAATACAGCAATATTCTTTTCTAGAAATTCACATTTTTCTCACATGCCATTATAATTACAATTCTGATTGTAATTTTAAATACGATTAGTATGCTGTCGCCATAAGTCACTGTAAATCGTCGATTTTTCGTAAAACGGTGAATAATTAATTTAACTGACTTCATCATTGAATTTAACTGACATTTCACTCATTGGTTTTCGGTGGAGCAGCTACGTTGTTCTTCCACGATATTGTTAATTCCGAGCGAAATTACTGGAAGCGAAGAATCGTACGCGCGTGTCTTAAATCGCATACGTTTCCTTTAATCAAATCCTTCCTTCTCTTCTTCGAGAGAGATCGAATAAAATAATTCAATATTGATAATCATTTATTATCCTGGTGAAAAAATTTTGCTGAAATGATTCCATGTTTTGAAATTGCTGAAAATTTGCTGAAAATTCACTGAAAGTGAATTTTTCAGTTAACATATTGAAAATATGCTATAATAATGTTAATTCGCTGAAATTGCACTGAAATGTCTGTGAAATTTATGCTGAGATTTTTCTGAGATTTTGCTAAAATTTTATTAAAGATGAATCTTTCAACTAAAAATTGCTGAAATTAAACTGAAATTTCGCCGAAAATATAAAAATATTTCAAAATGTGAAATAATTTCAGCGAAATTTTTCTACCAGAGTATAATTAAATCATAAATCAATATCGAGCAAATATAAGTTGTTCAATATACAATATCTCGATCGAAGAGGTTACTTATGTATCTTCCGTTTGTCCGGAGGCGTAAAAATTCGTAAAGCATATTTCTAAAAATGTTAAGTAAAGTCCATTATACGATTACGTAAGCGTAGTACTAAGAATTGACCAATCACAGTCGAATTTGAGAATACGCGACTGTGATTCATCAATTTTTAAAACTGCAACCATTTGCAATTACGCTTACGCAATGTAGAATGGGCTTAATGTTGGATACTTTCCGCGCCAGCAGCGTCTCGCGATCGCACACAAGTAGTAGTTGGATAACAATTGATAAAAAGATCATCAATTCTATCACGCGATTTCTGAGTCTACAAAAATTATCTGCAATCAAGTGTCACTTCTTAAGCCTATTCTATAATTACTGTTAATTAATTTGTGAGTATAGTTATATGTGATCGTAGTTGTAAGAATTCATGCAGCTGAAGAAAATATTCGACTGTGTGTGTAATCGATCGAATTCTTATCACTACCTCACTTACATCTGTGCTTACGCAATTGTAGAATAAGTTATGGAGAAAATATGGAAATCCACTTTTGCCTGTGAATCCCCTCGACATAAAAAAAAAAAAAGTCTGATTGTGGGACATTTTCAGACGTCTCAAATGTCCAAGAGACGCAAAAATCTTTGAGATCTTTAAACGGACGCCGATGAATATCCTCGCGAGGTGGTCCAACGTCGCTTCGACTCCCACGCAGAAGCGAAAGCGCGAGAATGTGCGAGCGCTGCCGGCATCGGTACGTGGAGCTTTGCTTGTTTTTCTTTTCGCGATTACACGCTGACGCGTAGCTCGCGATCGGACACGCGTATCTCGTGAAGTGCCTAAAAACCGCCGAAGGGAGAAAGTTACGGCTGTTAAGCGCGACGGCAAGGCCGCGGCGCGGAGTCCTCGGCACGCCGACGTGCATACAAGTGACAGCGGTGTGTGCGACACGATACTCTGGCGGTTATCGCGTTTCTTCCCGTTCTTCCCTTTCACCTTTTTCCTTTTTTTTTCTCTTTTTTTTTAATGGGATGCCGGATGGAGGCGTTTGTAAATAGTATAAATAGCACGTGCGCGAAGATACGTTTAAGCGAAATGAAAAAGAGGATATAATAAGTTTAATATTGAGAAAATATATATATAAATAAGATATATATTATATATTAAAGAAAAAGTGTATATATATATATATATATATATGTATGCGTATACGTGTACGTGTGCGTGTATATGTGTATAAGATTATTATTATTATTGTATGCATATATATGTATATATTTATCTTGATAAATAATATGAGGCGGCGACGAGCTCGCGCGGCGATCGATTCTTCCTCTTCGTTGCGGTGATATTCGGACGAAATTTATTTTCATTCGCGCTTACGACGACTCGTGGCAATTCAATAATACTCATCAAAAATTTCTTTTTTTCATATCTTGCTGATTAATTTTTTCGAACCGACTTTACGAACAAAAATCATTTTAAAATAAAGTTTGACGGAAGTATCATACCTAGAACATATTTCTCTTAGAATTAACGAAAATAATTCACATATTAATTTGTAATTTGTCTCAACATATTGAGCTTATGTTACATATTGAGCATAAATTATAATTATGTCAATGACATCTGATCGAGAATCATTTACTTTGCGTACTATAAAATTTGAGTCAAATGCGAACTGATTTACCACCCTCGACTCTGTTCCTTCGTCCCTTCAGAAGATTGTAAACAAGAAGCAAAAGATGAAAAAGGGACGATGAGAAAGCCGTCGATTGGAAAGCGATCAGGCGCGCGCGACTCGACGCTGTCGTAAGAAATTAGGGCAGGAAGGATGCACGATTGTACATTGTAAATAGTAGCGCAAAGAACGATGGTTACAGAGAAAGAGAGACAGAAATAATTAATTTAAAGAAGATGAGAGAGTAATATGGGGTAAAAAAAAAAGAAAGAAAAAAGGGGGGCGGTTGCGAGTCGAGGCGGTGTCGTCGGCCGCGTCGAGCAAACGCACGGCACAGCGGCACTTTCGGATCATCCGGATTACAAGCGCTTTCCGGAAGTGCGTTAGCGCCCGTCGTCGCGACGGGACGGCGAGAGCCCGGAAGCGTTCTCTCCCGCTGTCCCAGCACCTACGGTGCAGTTTCGTTTCCGTTCACGAACGAATACGAGCCCGCGACTAACCGAGCGATCGAGCGGCAACATCGCTGAAAATTATTCCGTGCTCTCGAACGAACTCTTTTCCGAGTCGTCCGCCTTGATTCGACCCTGACGCCGTGCCGGGTACGCGCGTTTTAACAGAGCCGGAGATATTATACTCTGAGAAAAATGCGTGTCTAAAAAGAAAACTATAAAAAGGGGGAAAAAATACAAAATTATTGTATAACGAATATGACGAATTTTAAAAAAACAAAAAAGACCACCGGTCGTCGGTCGTCGCCGTTCGAGCGAGCAAGACGAAATCGCATGCGACTCGATCGGGCCCACGTTTTTACTTGCGCACAAAAAAAAAAGCACGTGTGCTCCTCGATCATTTAGGAATTGAGAAGAAAAAAATATATAATCGGCGAACAAGTGTTACACGGGAGAGAAATCGCAATTACTCTAGTCCTATATGCGGTCGACGAATAATACGGCACACGTGTGTTCGCGAGTGATCGGGCGTGTCGCCATTTCCTTTCGTTTCTCTTTGTTCTAAAATCGTGGAGTTGTATCACGTACTGTTCTACCAAAATATATTAGCAGCAGAACTGACAGTAAAACGGGGAGTCGTTTAACTGGATATTGAATGACAAAAGTTGAGTAAAAAGAAACTGCAGCGCACGATATGAAAAACAACAACTATCAAAAACAATAAAGAGTATTATTCTATATATAACAACGACTTTTATTGCTCCTCATCTTTCAGCAATGCGGGTAGGCTATCAAGATATAAATGAACGCTTTCAGATGATTGCTTGCCAAGCCAGTTTGAGTATTGTTTATAAAGTTTAAATCATGACTTGTAAAGCGATCTTCATTTTTTCTATTATAGATGTCGATGCAATTTGTTTTAACAAACTACAATATTTTTTATGGAAATACCAGCATCAGACTTCATCAAATCATCAGCTTTACGAAGCCTGATGTGTAGCTTTTCGAACATCTGGATAATTTAGAGATTTCATATTGGGTACAACAAATATTTATTTTAATTTCATTATAGAGAATAAAATAGATATATTTGAATTTAAATATAAATGCGATTTTAGATGTTGACCTTTTAGATAAGAATTGTCTAGAAATTAAAAGAAAGGCAATAATTTCTTTATTATACTTACATATCGAGAAAATATTGACATATTTAATTTCTGTCACTTGCAATCACATAAAATTTTTTTGCTTCTAGATAGCACATCAGTCTTTCAACAATGTATATCTCCAATAAGAATAGTATAACCAGACAGAAATATTGTTTTATCAGTATAAAATAATCTTATCTGACTTCTATATTCTTAGAATGTTTTTATATTGTCGTACCTTCGCTAGTAACTTAAAACTTCCATTCCTATAAATATTCAGTCAAAATTCGATGATTTCTTGCATTCTTGAAGAACTTGTATTAATCAGGAGACTGTAACATATGAGATTAAAATGAGAAAAATAATTTAGCAAATAGATATAGCATATAGAAGAGTATATAGAAAAGTACTAGCGTCTTCAAGTACAATTTTTTTATACCTTTTTTGATAATAACTTGACAGAGATGAATTTTAATTGCTCTCTTTCTACGTTTTGATGTTTTGATGTTTTCATCGTATTATATTATATATACAATTATTGTCATTATTACTAAAATTATTTAATTTCCGAAGAGACATTATTGACATAAATTTAAAAATGTATCATGCATTGATATTCGAAATTACTAAGGAGTCTTGCTCATGCATCACAGTGTGCTTTAACATATTTTTATTTTCGTTTAATGATTTAGTTACAATAACTGCGCTGCATCCATCTGCAGTTGTGCGTTTAATATGCTTTAACATGTCATTCTTCTGTGAGAAGCTTTTACCACAGGTCTCGCAAGAATAAGGCTTAACACCCGTGTGGATTCTTTCGTGTACAGTTAGCGCGCCTTTACGCGTAAAACCTTTGTCGCAAAAATGGCACTTATGCGGCTTCAGACCCGTGTGGATCTTCATATGCTGGCTAAGATTACTGGAACATCTGTACTGCGTATTGCACACCTTGCAAATGTAAGGGCGTTCACCGGTATGTATCCTTTCATGAATTAGCCGCGCCTCTCTCGAAACAAACGAATTTCCGCAATAATGACACATATGCGGCTTCTCTCTCAAATGTTTCGACTTCTTATGATACATTAACGAGCTTTTACTTGCTAATTTCTTATCGCATTCATCACATTCATAAAACTTATCATCTTCATGTATGCGCTCGTGATTTAACAAGATGGCGCGCTTTGAGAATATTTTATTACAAATATTACAACGCCATATGTCCTTATCGGTACATTTCTTCTTAATGCTGTCCACTATTTCCTCCTCGGTATGATTTTTCCTGTGTATCTTTAATTCGCTCATAGATTTACATTTGTAGGCACAAACCTATAATAAAATGTACAATTTTTCTTATTGTTTCCAATTAATTTTCGATGAGAATATAACTGATATTAAAGTTCATAATTTTTATAAAATACTTACACTACATTTATATCCTCCATTATCGTTATTATGCCGTTTCATATGTGCGATCATATTCCCTCTACGATTAAACGTTGTACCGCAAATCGAACATGTATGCCTATTAGAGCCATGTGATAATTTGTGCTGTCGCAATTGAATCCTTTTGTAAAAAGCTTTGCCGCATTGTTCACAACAATAGGGTCTGTTATCATCGTGCTGATTCATATGTTCTCGCAAATGAAATCTGTAAACACAAGAAACAAGTTGCGTAAAATGTAATCCTTTCTGTTTTTCTGAATTTAGTTGGAATAATCTTAAGTATAAATTTCTTCAATTACCGTGATCTAAATGCATTACCACAGATCTCACACACGTGTCTTTTCTTTATAGCTTCGTCCAAATGAATTCTTTTATGGCCCCTTAAATTATTGGAATGCTTAAAACTTTTTCCACACAGATCGCAAAGATAGGGTTTATCTATTCTATGAGTAGCTTCGTGAATATCTAAACTAGACCACTTCTCATATGTTTTATTGCATGTAGAGCACTTAAATAATAATTGTCCCTCGTGCGATTCCATAATGTGTATTAACAAATTTTTTTTGTCATGATATACTTTTTCACAATGACCACATCTTTTATTCGTTTCAATAAGATTTTCATGAAGATATTTGTGATTATCATAATCCTGCTGACATGCAAACGCTTGGTTGCAAACAGTACAATGCACTGATTCGTAGTTTTTATCAGTAACTTGCTTATCATAAAATGTTTTTTTATGTGTCTGAAAATTTTCTCTTTCACGATTAAGTTGATTTCCATTTTCTGGAGTTTTACACATATCTACATGTTCAGAGATATCTTGTGTCTTATTACAAATTATTTTATGATTTTCAAATATTTCCTGTGTTTCACAGAAAGTTTGGCATTGTAGACATATAACACTAAGACTTCCATTTTGGATCTTATCTTGTTGCAAGTTTAATATCTCTTCTGTGATAGTCTCATTTGCATTACTTTTACTGTTAACTTCTCTACAAGTTTGGATTAGAGTATTTAGTTCTAACGGCACATTTTTCGAAATGCTTTGAAAATTATTATTCTGTATTTCAGTACATTCTCCATTTTCTAATTCTCTTAAACTTTCTGAATCAGAGTTTATCATTTTATTTATAGTAAATGAATTAGGATTATGCAAATTATCGTCCATACACATTTCTTGGACTATCTCTAAGGAACATTCGTCAATCAATGCATTGTACTTATTTTCGTATTCTGGCTGCAAAACAAAATATTTATGAATATAATAAATATATTTTAAAAACTTTTTTAAATTAAAAATTTTTTTAATAAAAAAATGTAACTTAAAAAATATTTATAATTATAATATCGACTAATATTATATTAGTTCTTACTTCTCTGTCAATATTTAGAAATTGTTTTAAGCGCATGTCAGTTCTAAGACATGAGACAACTAGTGAATGTACAACTTCCAATTTATTACAGCAATCGGTACATACTTTCCGTAATAATGAATCGTTTACATCAATCGAGATAGGCATATGTAAATTTATTCTTTCTTTTAATTTAAGTTCTATGCCCTTGGTTGCAAAGATATCTATTCCATCCAAAGTGGATATTCCACAGATTCGACATAAATTGGCAAATTTGACAGAGATATTATGATATTCGTCTATCTCGACATTCATATCGCAATATGTTAAAGGCACATTGTCACTTATTTCTTGGAGATGCTGTGCCTTATGAAACATATTTATCGAATCTTCATCGTCAGTAGTCAAGCCAGTCCCAAATAAAGTGGGAATGGTTCCTTCTTCTACAACAATGGGAATAGTTTTGCTTATATAACAGCGATCTTCAATGTGATGAGAACAAATGTAATAATTCGAATGCAATTCCGCATTTGATTTTGTAGCTAAATCCAATCTGCCACAACATTCTGCCCATACTTTGGCTCTATAAAAATTATTGTCAAAATTCAAATTATAAAACAATGAGTATAATAGTTGTAGTTTTCGAGCAATGATAACATAAGCATAATGAATTTAATAATTATCTAAACATCAAAAATAAATCATCAGAAAAAATATTATACTTACGTGTCATTGTTGGGAAAATTGATAAAAGTAACATTCGAGGAATCCTCGTTTTCTGAAGAATATTTGCAATTTAACGCAGCACAAACAATTTTCATCTTGGATGATTATTTCTAATTGGAAGTAAAAAAATCAAGTTTGTTGTCAAAGCTCTTTCCATGGAAAGTTTCTATAATTCGGAGGTAAGAGAATCAAGAAATGAAAAGCTGTTTGTAAAGAAGCCGCGACTGCTACGCCGATTCACTTATGTTTCACGAACTAATTCATGGCGCTTCATTTTAAAATTATGAATATATCCCAGTCTAAACTTACAATTAAATCTATATGAATTCTTTATGCTAATTAATTTTAATGAATAAAAGATAACGCAAAGTCATAAACTGGCCGGAAATTTAACTCACAAATATAATTAATTTCGTAATGCAATTCAGTTGTTAATGTAAATGTAATTAATGCTAAATTAGAAATCTATGTAAATATTGAAAGTGATATTATGAAATAGACACGATTCATCGGTCCGACATTAATATGAGTTCGAAATACGAATTGTTCAATGATCACATATATTCCATCGCTCATGAATATGAATTCATTTAAGTAGCAAACGATCACATTTTAAATAATTTAGCTATAATCTATTAACAAATATACTCTCTTCTCTCTTCAACAATCTATATATCTATAAATGTGTATATGTACACACCCGCGCGCGCGCGTACACACACACATATACATACATAAACAAAAATACATTTCAAGAGCACTTCTTAAAAGTACTTCTTAAATGTTGTATGACTTAGATTTTTGTTTGTTGATTTTTTTGCTATATATTATAACTAAATTATTCAAAACGCATGATCGTTTGCTATTTGAATATATATATATTTATATATATATTTATATTACATATATATATATATATATATATATATATACACATACAATGCATACAATAACATTATTATTTAAATTATATAAACAATCTGATATTACTAGCCGGTTGAATCTAATGCATGAAAAACTTCTGGATTGTCGATATCTAGGAACAAACATTTAAAAATGTCATTGTAGAAGTCTGGATAATATTCGCACGCACGCTGACAATCGGGAGTAAAATTTATTTCCAACAGCTTGGGTTGCATTTCGCAGTCTCTCCATTCCAACATCATATCGGCAGCATATACGGCTCTGCTTTGCGGACTTTCGGCTATTCCTTTTGGAGGCGGCTGCGCGACTGCAGCTTCAAAGGTCTGTCTTAAAACAGAAAGAATCTTTGGCTCGACATAAGTTTTCCAGGGATAATTGGGATACTGATTTTCCCATTCTACGATGAAATCGGCACATTTCTCATGGAATAGTGAATTCTCCTCGGTATAATTCATCACGGTAAAATGTTGCTCATAAGCATTAAAATTGTTCAGTGCGAACGATTGATTCGCAAAACGCAGGAAGAAGTTTGCATAAGCATACGCACGTAGCGGCTTTACAGATTTAAGCAATACAACGTATCTCACGTCGAATTTTACTTGATTAATATCTGATCTATTATATAAAACTGGCCGTTCGATGTACTTCTGCACAATTTTTGGGCCTGTGCAAGGCAGCCGTAGAATATAATAAAGATTATTCGTGATATGAGTATCTAAACCTCTTGCCAAGTTCCACGGTTTGCAAATCCAATGATTATCCAAATCCTTATTTGCTCGTTGCATGAAATAAGCAATAAATTGTACCAATTCCGTGCTCAAATTATATGTCGTCGGTAACCATACTGGATAAGTTTCAAGAGTATCCGAGTCATACAATTTGTCCATTGCCTTTCTTCTGCATACAATCGATAAAAGATCTTTTGTCGTCAGAATATTCTCATACGGAAATTGATTTACAAAAACGTGAGGCGAAGAAACATTTAATTCGTTGTACGTCTTGTAGTGAGATACAAACCATAATATGTCTGCCTCTTCTTCGTTGTCAGTAATTTCAAATGCTGAATCTGTCAAGTAATTATTCACATAACTGTATTGTGAAAAAACCTTTAATTTTCTGCTGTTATCTGCCTTAATTAAATCCAAGTTCTCCGGCAAGCTTTCAGGAACATGACCTGCTAAAAAATAATCTGCATCTGGTTCATTCTGTTCAAAATTTTCATCTTCAAAAGTATTATGGACCCAAGGCAATAATAATGCGCGTTTTTTTTTTGGATCCTTCGTTTGACCTTCCACAAAATCTCTCGTGACTTCATCGCCTGTAGTAACATCTTTTGTAGGAAATAGAAGCGTATAAATTACACCTTCCGGCAAATATAAAAAAGGGACTGCTCTAAAATTTGGATCATCATTGTGATTTATTGCTGAACCAACCTCGTCCATAATGTACCATATTGGCATTCTATCTTCTATCTCTCCATAGTTCACCGAATACGATTGATTGTAACGCCACATTTCATTTGTAACATCCTCGACTTTTTTCTGCTCATCCAGCTCTGTATTTACTCCCATGAGAATGCACATTCGATCAAGTAAGCCAGGAACTTGAACTAAATTCTGTTGAACACTACTGATATCATATGTCCATGCATGATCAATAAGATAAATATTATTAGAATCTTGAACAGAAATACCATTCTCTGCAGATACAATTAATTTCCATATTGGTTCTGTAACATGTCTTTCTCCATTTTCGTATTCTACTTTTATCAATTGGAAGACAAGACCAGCATCATAAATCTGATTTGTTAATTTCTTATATAAAACTTTCCAAAATAAATGTGGGATACCATAAGATTGAAGTTGTATTTTATGTGTTGTAAGAAACACATTAAATAAGTCTACACCATCCATTGCAAAAATAAATAAGTCTAAAACAAATAAATATTTAGCAATTATTTCTTCAATATAAAAACAACAAAGTTAAATATATATTTAGAGAGAGAAAAAAAATCTATGTTTCTTGAAATTGATACATGTGAAATATTGAAAAATAACCAGTTTGTGCAAAAATAATAAAAACTATCAAAATATTAATACAAATTAAATAAATATATGCATTACTTTAAATAGCAATATAATAAATAAAACTTGCAAAAATATGTATGAAGGTATGTACATTTTGAATTATTATAGGTTAACTAACACACGCTCCTTTGCATCTTCTACTTCTTCTATGGATTTGCTATATGTTCTGTGGGATTTGGTATAGCTCAGTATTGCCAGATATCGGCGAAGCAATTTCCCTGTTGGCATATAATAATCACCCTAGTTTTCCCTATTTCCGTTTTTCCAAAAATTCCTGTCTTTCCAAATTTTCCGCTAATTTCATCTATTTCTCTTAAATTCACAAAATTTTTGTTTTTTTACAAATTTTATTAAAATAAAATCATAAATTATTTTTTTATTAATATATCACAATTTGGAATTAATGATAAATATGAAACAGAACATAGACCTTTGTTACAATCAGCTGTTCCTCGAGTTCGGAAGAATGGAACTGTAATTGGCCAGCTTTATAAAATGGTTTTTATTAAAACGATTTTACGATGTCGCGTAAACGTAGTAATATAAAAGAAAATATAATAATAAGTACTATAAATTAATGAATAATATATTTTTATTGTGTAATATTAGAGAAGTTTTAAAGAAACAAATAATGCATATGATTTTAATATATATAAGTCTAATACGGGATCTACAATGGAAGTCGTAGTAGTCGTTTTAAATCATAGAAAATTGACCAATCACAGTTAAATATGAGAAATGTAATAGACTCTGGTTGGTCAATTTTCTACTAAAGATACTATTATATATCGCTATGACTTCTATTGTAGACTTTGTATTAGAAATCAGACTAGTGAGACTAGTAATTGACATAAATTGGTGTCCCATACATAACTTATCTTAACCTAAACAAATATATATTTGTAGCAAATTTAATCTCAATTTAATCTCATTTTTGATGTACCAGTAGTGGGTACCTCGCCGCCATGTTGTGAATTGGAAAGACGCTTATAAATTTGAGTTTTTATAAAACTACAGAATGATTTTTCTAAAAAAAAAAAAGACATAATTCGGTCGTGTCAAAATTGTGAAAATTGTTTATAGCGAGTATATTTTTAAATTAGAATTATATAATAATATAATAATATAATGTTAACGAATTCATTATATAAAGATAATATTCACATTAATAATAATAATAATATTAAACAGTAATAAGTAAATTAAAAATAATAATTAATTAAACTATACGAAAATTGTAATTGAATAATTATATATGAAAAAATAATATATTACATGAAAATTGTAATTAAATGTGAAGTTGTAATTTAATAATATATGTACACAAATGCGTACTTTATTATGAGAATACTTTATCGTATACAAATATAACTAATCTACCCAATATTAGATGAGTTGTGTGTGTGTGTGCAGCGTATCTAAGAAATAAAACCATAAAACATCGAAGAATATTAAAAATGTGAAGAATATATTATTTTACTTATTTCGTGAAATTAATATTTCGAGTTAGACGATTGTCGAGTGGCATAGGGTTTAATTTGACGCGAAAGGACGGGCGAGCAACGCGTCATATTTACGCGCAGTCACCTCACAGTCATACAATTGCTCGTGCAGGCACGTTGCCCGGGTAGTCGTTCCGTTCTTCTTCACATTTCCCCTTAAAACGTAATCCCTATAAATATTATCCCTATATATATTAGATAATACGAAACGTTATACTTTATATGAATACTCACATTTTATGATTATTATCTCGTACGATTAACCTTTAATACGCACTTTTAGGTCATTTATTGTGTTCTGTGTATTTCTTTCTTTGATGTATATTCAACAACATTATATACAAAACAATTGTATATAACAATTTATTCTAAATATATAACTTTACACAAATATTTTCAAAATATACGTAAAAATTGTATAATAATTTTTATATAGAACTAATGAAAATTAATTCACGGAAGACCCACCGTGTGTAGTAAGGACCAAAAACTAAGATACGTACTAAAGTTAATTATTCATAAGAGAATCAAAATGACAATTCAAAATGACGTATCATGAAACAGATATTTCGTTATGGTTAATTCATTTGAAATCAAAACGCGATGGAAAATTTAGGCTTTATTACATGATAATTATGAATGATAATTATTGTTATATAATATAAAATTTTTCTCTTGCTTGAGTACCAAGGAAAAAAAGCTTTTATAGTTATATGAAATTATGTAAAATTATGATATAATTAGATATAATTACGTGTAATACAATTTTATATAATTGTGTATAAAACATTTTTCCGAGGAATTTTGATTAGATAGTTACAAATAAAACTAGAAGGTTGAAAAACGACATATTATTAGCATTTTATTTTTTATTACATACAAAATATATGCATGTTGTATTAAAAAGGTATATACATGGTGGATTATATACTTTATCTGTATACCTGTGTGTTTTATATTTAATTACTATTATTAATAGTAAATACTGTTATTAATGAAATAATATAAATATACACATATTATGAATATATTTATGCAATAAAAAGTTAATAAAATAATTAAACTGCCAGAGTGCGCTGAGATTAACGTTCATCAGAATTCTAGTAATGTTGCTATAATACTTTTAACTATGTTTAGTTAAAAGTATTTGTCGTCTGTTAAATTCAACTGAAAAATATTAAACAAATCTTTATAATACAATATACTATAATTCTTATAATATAATATAGTCTATCAAACATTACAGCTGTTAATGAAGCCACATGTTATGAGCATATTTATTTAATAAAATGTTATTAAAATAATTATACTACCAGAGAGTTGAGATTAACATTTATCAGAATTCTGATAATATTATGTATGTCTAGTTAAAAGTTTGTTAAATCCAACTGAAAAATATTAAACAAATTTTTATAATATAATATGCTATAATTCTTATAATATAATATAATCTACCAAACATTATAACTGTAAAATCTCGAATCTTGCTATAACAATCAGAAATATTTAATTTTAGCAAAGTGTATTTAACTATATACGTTGATATTAAAACATAATCAATTTCTCATGCATTAGAAAAAAAGTATTATAGATTATATACCGATTTTAAAGTCATCAGGAAGGCCAAACCTGTGGCGTAAAACTAAAAAAATGCTTTTATTATAATTAATGAAAATATTTATATTAAATTGCGAACAATTAATATAAAAGAATTTTGAATATGTAAATTAATAATAAAAAATCTAAAATCTGCAGTTAATTGAGAAATGACTTCAATATTTTGTTGCCATTTAGATATTTATGTAATTTACAAAATTGAATGTAGAAGTGTTATATTTCTTGTAATAATTCTATACATTTATACATTCTATTACATATATGCTTAAACTTTTAATTGATATTGGACATACCTGGCGAATGAAATTATATCCAAAGTGGAATTGTCCCATTCCAAATTTTACCTCCCTTAATTTTATTTGCAATATAAATTGTAAAATCTAATTAATATAAATAATTGAATAAACGTTAGTTATACATTAACTTTCGCGTAAGTTCAGACATTAGCATAAATATTATCAAATAGCTATATAAAAAATTAAGGCATTATTATAAAATGTCAATTATATTACATTGTTAGATATCAAAGGAGCAACTCAATCCCTTAAGTTGAATGACATTTTGTTATTTTTAACTTCAATAGATGTAAAAATCAATCGCATATATACTTTATTTTTTAGTTTCAAGGTTTAAACAGCGTTCATATTAATAATTAAATTTGAGGCAAATTTAATATATTTTCTTAAGTTACATCATACAATTTCATTATTTTATTGAATTTTTTTTATTTAATTAATGACATATTGAGAATCAGTGACGATCTATAGAAACGATTGAAAATAATTCAAATATAATTAATCAATGTTACAAGTTTAATAGTATATGCTTTATATATTTTAGGCTACTTGTACATATAAATTAATTACAAAAGTAATTACAATACAAAAGTAAATTATTTTCAATTTTATATACTAAAATGCATAGTTTATTTTGTAAAATATTGATAATATAATAGGTTTAAATTTCAAATGTTCGCTCACGGCATATAAAATAAAAAATAATTTATAAAACTTTCTAGCCTATAGTTCCCTATAATGTTAGTATGTAGTGTGTACAAGTATCTTAAAATACATAAGAATATAATATGATTGTTGTTTTACAATGCCTTAATGTTTGCACAATGTTGGCTAAAATTTATGTAGGTATCTGAACTGAACGTTAGTAAAATTACGCATAGTTAAAATTTTATATAACATTTTATTGTAATTATTTACCTCTTTATCCAAGTCCTCTTCGAAATTATAATTAGATAATTCGTGAAGAATTGCCACTGTCTTGTTTATCTGAAATTGTTTTTATACAATATGAAAGTCTGTAGTAAATTAAAAATTTTGCATTCAATAAATAAAGTTGCATTATTTCGAAGAAAACTTTGATATGTAAATTTATTGTTGTAAAATTGTTGCTTGTATTCATTATTCTAGTTATAAATAATTAGTAACATTTTAATTCTATTATACCTTACAGTAAACAATTTGACATATGTAGTTTAATGTGAGAAATAAAGCGTTATGCATAATGAAAAAATAAATTGTATATAACCATTCGCAAATTATATTAAATGCCCATATTTTCATTTTTATATCTTTCTCTATAAATATCCCAGATATTTGGATATAGAAAAGCACATTCTCTAAAAAGTTCCATATCATTTGTAGTAACATTTGTATGTTGAATATATTATTTAGTTTGCATGATATAAGACATAATTTTAAGTGGACGTGCCTGTAAATAAATCGTAATTGTTATAATTAATTAAACCTTAAAAACGAGAAATATTGAGCAAAATATATTTAGAATTTAATTTGAACTATAGTTGTAATTTGTGATCGGTTCAAAATGTGTAATTATTTCAACCAGTTAAAGTTAATTATTTTTATACATATATGTACAGTATATGCATACATATTGCAGCAATATTACAATGTTATTGCAGCGACATTGTTGCAAATTATGTGCGGTATAGTTTGATCTTAACTAATTTTATCCTGACATGATTCTGAACAACATTCAAGAGGTCTTAGCCATCGGTGTGAGATATCTTTGGTAGTGTTAATGCCGGCGGTATTGTAACTATCATTTTATAACTCGAAAATGTATTTAATAAAAGATAACTTTATTACAGTGTTTTGA